TCTCTCTCTCTCTCTCTCTCTCTCTCTCTCTCTCTCTCTCTCTCTAAAACAGAGTCTCATTTAGCACAGGCTAACCTCAGAGCTGCCATATAGCAGAGAATGACCTTGAAGCCTTGAACCTCCTGCGTCTGTATCCCAAGTGCCAGAATTATCAGCCTGTGCCACCACACCTGCCTTGGACAGCTCTCCGTGAGAGCAGGACTCAGCTTGGTTTTATACCTTTATTGTGCCACCTGGCCTTCTGTCTGGAGGCTGCCGAAGACCTTGTTAGCAAACTCTCAGTTCTTCAGAGACTATCATCAAGTCCTTTGCATATCTGGTGACTTAGGCATCCACCACACCGAAGCTCTCAGTGCTTGATAGGATTGCTGATGCTAACTTCCAGTGGATCAGGCATCATGCTAAGACCGTAACCCATTTTATCTCTTTAAACCCGTACTCTGAGGCGGCAGCAGCCAGAGTAGGTCCTTCCTTTTGACAGTTAAGGAAGCTGTGACTCAAAAGGTTAAGTCCTGCATTTAATTCAGCACTTGAGAGGCAGAGGCAGGCAGATCTCTGTGAGTTTGAGGCCAGCCTGGTCTACAGAGGGAGTTCCAGGGAAGCCAGGACTACAGACAGAAATCTTATCTCAAAATTAAAAAAAAAAAAGAAGGAAGAAAGAAAGGTTAAATCCTTTGTCTACAGTAGCCGCTGGTAGTGTAGTGTCATGACCCAAACCCATCTTTGCATATTTCCAGGGGTTGAATTCTTACTATACTGTGCTAGCTCTGGGGTGAGAGCGCCCACTCTCTTCCAAAGGTCCTGAGTTCAGTTCCCGGCACCCATGTCAGGCAGGTCAGAACAACCTATAACTTGAGATCCAAGGGATCTAACACTCCTGGCCTCTAAGGACACCTGCATACACACGTGTCTCCACAGAATTACAAAAAATAAAAACAAAGCTTTATGAAAGAGGCCATCAGAGCCTGCCTGAGCTCTATAGGACGTTCAAGGCTGGCCTAAGCTATAAGAAACAAAACACAAATCAACAAATATCGCAGATGAGAAATCAAGAAAGGAGCGCCCCACCCCAAAATGCTTCTTAGGAAAGGACTATCACTGCCAGCCTGTAGATTTGGAGGCCCAGAGAGCAGAAGGCTCTATGTATCCTGGTTATTGGTGTTTTAATTATTCCCCTGATACAAAGATTAATCTGGCAGCTCCTACACCCTATTCACCCCACAGCATCTGGCCTTGATGTATTTATTAGATGGAAAAGCAAATGGGAGGTGAGTGGAAGGTTTGGGGTAGAGGGAAGGATGGCTGCAAAGAAGGGGAGTGGTTGGTTAGAGGGCTGTATGAATAAACTCCAGCCCCACCACTCCTGTTTTCTAAAAAACCAATAGTAACAACAGGAAATGACAAGTGCTACTAAAACATGGCTACTTGTGCCTTGTAGCTGGGATTGTAAAGCTGCTGCTGCCGTTATGATAACAGGGCAGTTCCTTAAAGAAAAAGAGGCGCTCAGGAGATGGCTCAGCGGTTAGGAGCACTCACTGCTCTTCCAGAGGACCCGAGCCGGTAACTCCAGCTCCAGGGGATTCGATGCCTTTGACACCTCATGCGCCTGTACTCACATTCAGACGCATATACACACGCCTACTACACACAACTAAAATATAATAAAACAGCCTGGGGTATAGTGCAGAGAAAGGTGGATCTCTATGAGTGTGAACCCAGTCAGGTCTACATGGTGAGTTCCAAGTCAGCAGGGCTGCAAAATGAGATCGTCTCAAAAATAAAACATACATACACTAAAGAAAGAACTATCATAGAACACAGTGAGTCACCAAGTCCATTTGTGAGTGTGCGTCCAGATGAATATGTCAGAGCCCTAATCATGATCTAAACGTACAGTCATAGCAGTGTTATTCATCATAGCCAGAAAGTAGAAACAAGAGAAGCATCCTTCAACAGATGAGCCATTAAGCAAAATGTAGTGGTCTAGGTGGTGGGCACAGCTGACTTCCAAAATGTACTGCACTCATACAGTGGGATATTATTCAACCTTTAAAAAGAGAGAAATTCTGGTATGTGCTA